AGAATTCACTTCTGAGTGAAGTTTCTTAACTAGCCCTACTGATGAAAGGAAATGCTTTTTAATTTATTATACCTCAAGGATCAAATACAATAGAATTCCATTACTGTACAACCTAACACATAATTATGATTAAAATTTGGGTCAAATAATGTCTCTTGATGTCATTTAACTACCTTAACAATAGGCCAACCCTAGGAGTCACCACCTCTCTCCAAGAAGAGAAAGATCAACTATTGTACATGTAAGTGATTTTACTGAAACTTAGTATATTCCATGGAAATAAAAACGTAGTCAACAAAGTTGTAAGTATTCCAGTCTCTCCATCCCCATCTGACTTCATAAAAGTAACTGATGATCAAAACTGTAAAGATTTAAATGACAGCTTTTACTACAAATATTCTCTAGTTGCAGGAATCCATACAATGAAAGATATTCCTCAGGCCGGGCGTGGTGGCTCACGCCTGTAATCCCAGCACTTTGGGAGGCCAAGGTGGGCAGATCGCCTGAGTTCAGGAGTTCGAGACCAGCCTGATCAACATGGAGAAACCCCGTCTCTACTAAAAATACAAAATTAGCCAGGCGTGGTAGTGCATGCCTGTAATCCCAGCTACTTGGGAGGCTGAGGCAGGAGACTTGCATGAACCTGGGAGGTGGAGGTTATGTAAGCTGAGATCGTGCCATTGCACTCCAGCCTGGGCAACAAGAGTGAAATTCTGTCTTAAACAAACAAACAGACCAAAAAAGATATTCCTCTACACAACCACCAGGACTTGGAGGAAATGGATAGGACTTGCAGTAGTGAAGAGGTTTCTTTCTTAATTCCAAATACCAAATGAACACTGATCTCCTACACAGATTTAACCTAAGGTTCTACAGTGCTAGTGCCTGAGTGAAATTTTTCCTCTTAATTACCTATGTTGAGCCTCCAATTTCTGCTCCAGTTTTTGCTGACATAGAACAGCATGTTTCCTTTTTATAGCTTGCTCAAACCCAGGTTTGGCCTGCAAAGCGTGGTCATAACAGAGCACTGAGTGGTTATATTCCCCAAGCATCTGAAGAGACAAAAACAAGCACACATATATACACATAATACACAAGGGGAAGAAATGTTAGCCATGGCCTGGTTGCATCTGTCCAAATCCTCTAATGATTTATGAGATCACACCTGGATCTTACTCTCCAATGACCATTACTTTGATCAGTGACCACATCCCTACAATATTAAGATAAACTATAGGATGGTTTCATTGGAAGATATTGCTGACCTTAAAAGGTGTATTCTTTAAAAGTTTCAAATTCCAATTTAATTATTATTATTTTTTTTTGGCAAGAGGATAGAACAATTACACTATTGTGCTGAGAATTTTTCTTCCTCCTAATTTCATTTCTATTATTCACACTAAAAGAGGAACCGAAAAAAGTAACATTCCACTGAGAGGGGAGAGAAAAAAAGGAAAGTGGCAACTAGTGCGTCTCATTAAACAAAAAGTAGTACTTACTGCATATATATTCCCCAAAGTATAATAGCTGGTGAAGAAGTCACTGTCATCCAGAGCTGCATGGACCACAACAGCAGCATCAGCAGAGAAGTGTGCTCTGTGTAGAACATTTGCCAGATTGACCAGGGCAATGTCTTTATTGTGCCTAAGGAAAGCAGCACATATTCCATGATTATGAAGAACTACTTGACAAGGAAAAATGACATTCAAAGTTACTTGTGCTTAGGAAAATAAGATATAGGTGGCAAAAATAATCACAGTGTTTCGTTTTTACATTATTGATGGTTCTTAACCTGATAGCGACAAATTTTGTCACAAAAAAAAAGGTCAGGCAGATACTGCATGATTTTACAATTTAGGGCTTATATTTATTTGCTTTAAGAAAAGTTAAATTTAGTTTATGCTAATTCCATTCAAGTGAATCACAGGACACCCATGTAACACATTGTTTCCTTAATGGAAATGGAAAGTATATTACACAATTATCACTTTAAACTTTTTGACATCTGTGATTTTTCTTCTTTTTTTCTTGGTGGTGGGCTAATTTCTTTGAATAGGGATGGAGAAAAGTATACAATGCAATGCTGCTTCTGATTGTTTTCTTACGTATTGTTTCTTTAACGGTCCTGAGGAATGTGGAAAACCAGGAAAATCAGGTCCAGAAGAGGAGGAATCTTACCTGGAAGAGAAGTGAAGCGCTCGCATGGCACACTCCACTACCTGATACGGCTCATTCTTAATTCTCCAGTAAAATGACGCCATGTTATACAGTACCCATGAGGAAGAGTTCTAGAGATTAAAAAAGTAAAATTACAAACACGACTCAAAACAGTTTAATTTAGAATGCTCAAAAAGAGCACCTTTAATATTCTGGCTCTTCCAAAATTCAAGATGAAGAAGAGCAAGACTAATGAAAGCAATGATAAAGAAGAGGACACAGTGCAAAGAAACTAACAGCATTCTAATCATCAGCTGAGAATGCATATTATGGTGTGATCTTCATATAAAGACCATCCAACTCCAGCTTATTCCAAGAGGGAAGTAAAACTGAAAATCCCACCAACTGACCACAACTTGTTGGGTGGGCTCTATTCAGAAGTTAAGTCAGAAGACCTAATCTACTTAGAAATAGCTCCAATATGAAATTCCTGAAATTAACATTTAAAATATTTTTCTATTTATGTAATATCTGAGTGAAGCCACAAACTTAAACAGGTTTACTCTAAATATAAAGACAGAAAAAGAGGAAAAAGGGTGAAAAACATGAACAGACAACTCAAATAATGAAACAGCTAAAAAGTATGTAAAATGTATAACTTCACAAAGAAATAGAAATTTAAAAGATACAAGTTTTCCTTTTACAAAGTGGCAAAGACTAAAAAGAATGCCAATACTTACTGGATATTAACTTTAGATTTTAAACTATAGAAATGTTAAGCTACTACAGCAGGTCAGGGGGACAATCTGACATGTATGTAAAAAGCTTTAAAAATGTAATGTATATTAACATACAAATTAATGTATATTACATTTACCCTTTGACTCCCACAATTCTACTATTAAAAATGTATACTATGGGGAATAATTAAGTTTTAACTATAAACATATATAAAAATAAAACTCCAAAAGGATGTATTACAAACCAGTTTTGAAATTATTATTTTTACTTTCTTTAATAGATTTTTATAGTCTGAATCTTTTACAAAGACCAATTATTTTAAAAGTTATTTTAATGTAGTTAAAAATAGTTTAAATTTAGTGAAATGCAGTTTTTAAGATTACAATAAGTACAATCTGAATTATTAATCCTTAAGTATTCTATATTCAAGAAAAGTATGTGATTTTTGAGTGATGCAATTAAAGGTTTTAACACTACGAGCAGATCAACTATGAACTTCTGCTACTTGAAGTTGGTTAAAGGACAGTACATACTTCACAACTGACTTGTGAGGAAGGTTTCAGTTTTCCTTTTGATAGCCTTTTGAAAAAATTATTTTCAAATCAACAAATGCTTTGATTTTGATTTGCATCTTTTATTTTCATGTTATAGTGTAAACTAGGACAGAAAGTTCAATTAAAAGTTCTACATGAACTACTGAAAAGATCATGATACATTAAATATATATCATGATACATTAAATATATATCACAGCATACTAAAGATAAAAATATATATTTAAAGAAATACCCTTCTGTAGTTCTCATAAAATCTCCCCCATATCTATAAATGTTCTAATGTTACTGTGAATTACTCCCTCCTTCCTTCGAACACTTTCTTCCATTGGCTTTAGGACACCACATTCTGTAGGATACCCTTTCTGGTCTTTTTTTGCTGGCTTTCCTCCTCTGCTTGATAACTACATGTGGGAGGCCGCCAGGACTTGGACTGGCTTCTTCTCAAACTTCACTCTTCCTCAGATGACTTCATCCAGTTCCATGGCTTCAGATACTCATAATGTAGTAATTATTCTCTATGTGCCCAATTTCAGCTTTCACTGAAATTCCAAACTCATATAGCTATTTCAAATTTAACATGGCCCCAAAAGAACTCTTATTTTCTCTTCTCCAACCCCAACTCTCCCCTCCTTCAAGTTGTTCAAATCAAAAATTTAAGCGTTTTCCTTGATTCCTCTTTTGCCTGCAATCCCCACATCTAACTCATCAGCTTCTAAACTCCGAAATATCTCAATAGTTCAAGTCCTCTCATTTCCACTACTAACAACTACTAGTCCAAACCACCTTCATCTCTCTTGAACTACTGCAACAGCCTTCTAACAGGGCTATTTCCAGTTGTGGCCCTTTCAATAACTTCTTCATATAGTAGTCAGAGTGATCTTTTAAAGTATTACTGGCAATACATTGCTCCTCTGCTCCAACTTCTCAGCACACCTAGAATAAAATCCAGAGTCTTTACCCTGGCTTTCAGACCCCTACATAATCTGGCACTGGCCTGCTTCTCTGGCTTCACTCCCTATCATCCCTCCTCTTGCTGACCAGGCTCCAGCAATAATGGCCCAAATTTGGCTGCATGCCATCTGTTATGGACTGAATGTCTATCTATGCCTCCTCAAAGTTCATATGTTCAAGTGTTATCAAGCCTGTGAGGAATGGATAAAGGCTAAATGAGGTCATAAGGATTGAGGCTCAAATTTGATAGGGTTGGTATCCTTATAAGCAGCAGAAGAGACAGATCTCTCTCTGTCTTCAAGCATGCATACAGAGGAGGCCGTGTGAGGATACAGAGAAGGCCGCCATATGCAAGGCAGGAAGAGAGCCCTTACCAGGAACCAAATCACTGGACCTTGATCTTAGACTTTCCAGCCTCCATGCTATGAGAAATACATTTCTATTAAGCTACCCAGAATGTGGTATAAACAAATATATTTGGTCTTGGTCCCCAGTTCCTGACACACAAATCTAAAATGTGAAGAATCACACAAGTGATGTGTGGTTTTCATATGCCAATGGGATGACTGGAGGCAGGTGGCCCCCAGATAGCTTCAGGACAGATGCTGGTCCCAGAAAAACCAAGGCATGATTAGAGGGTTAGATCGTTCAGTATCCCATCCTATCCATGTCCTTCAGGGAGGGGAGAGAGGGTAGAGACTGAGTTACTCACTCACAGCCAATACTTCAGTCAATCATGTTTACGTAGTGAAACCTCCATAGAAACCCTTAAACAACAGAGTTTTGAGAGCTTCTGGGTTGGTGAACACATTGAGATTCCAGTAGGGTGGTGTTCTGAAGAGGACATGGAAGCTCTGTGCACCCCTCCTTGCTATTCCCTGGCTTATGCCTTGGGCTGTTCCTGAATTGCATCCTTTATAATAAACCAATAATAATAAGAAAAGTGCTTTCCTGACTTCTGTGAGATGTTCTAACTTGGGGGGGAGACTGTGGGAATACTCTGACTTTATGCTGATTTGCTGGGTGGCCTTGACGTCCGGCTGGCATCTAAAGTGCAGGTAGCCTTGTGGGACTGAGTCCTTGACCTGTGGGGTCTGTGCTAACTCCAGGTAGTTAGTGTCAGATTGTATTGAGTTGCAGGACACCTAGTTGGTGTCGGGAGAACCGGAGAATTAGTAGTGTGAGAAAAAACTCTGTACATTTAGTGTCAGGAGGGTTTTGGGCAGAAACTGTCCAAAGTGGTATTTTGTTATGGAAACCCAAGCAGATGAATACAATCACCTAACCTCATTCAGGATTCAGAGCCTTTGCTGTGGCCTAGAATGTTCTTCCATGATCTTTGAATTCTGGTTTCTTCTTATCATTCAGGTGTTAGCTTAAATTTCACCTTTCCAGAGAGAATAACACCAACTGCTAGATCTAAAGTAGCCACCCAATTACTTTCTATTTTAACTTTCTATAGAACACTTACCACTATGGTCTACTCTCAACTAACCATTCTCTGAAGAATACTGTAAAATCCTGGGCCAGTTTTCTCTTATTACTCATCAAGTTCTGGGAATGCAAAAGTTTTACATTACCTTCAGAAAAATAAGATGAAGATGGTAACACAGCTACAACAATAATCATATAAAGCATTTGAAAGTCAAGTTTCTTACTTTTATCTGAAAATTCTTCTCAATATACAGAGCAATGTATTTGAATAAACTGTATACAACGGTGGCAATTATACATCTTATTTTACACAACTATAATTAATACTGCTTAGAAACTAACCTGTATTTTATGATATTCCTTAGGTGCAAAGAAGAGCAAAAACATTTTCTAAATGCCCATGTTAATCCTGAATGACACATTTAAATTCTTGGGTCCTGTTACATAATTCCCTACTTCATTTTTTTAAAGTAGATGTTCCCTTAAAAGAAAGTTACAGAAGATTTTGTTGCTGGTGGTGATTCTTTTTCTGTTTCAGAAAACAGTAATAATATATGTATTGTGTATAGATATGTTAAAGACACTAAAACATTAACTTTCTTACATACACAATGTATATAATCTAGCCTATAGACCCTGTTGCTTCTATCAGTTTATATTTCATTTTTTATGAATTAGTTTAGATAAAACTTTTCAGCATCTCTTCCTGGTAAAGGAGACTAGTCTATCCATGTTTCTCCCTAGCACTGGAACTATGCAATTTGTATCAATGTAAGTGTAATTTTAAATCGTCTGCTAGATAAAAACAAGTTATGCAGGTATTTTCCAAGAGAAAAATACCTTCTGTTTACACAGAGCCTGCTGGCTTTTTAAGTGACTGATGACTTACCTTCTGTAGGCCTTGATGAATGAGGTGACCTATGTCATCTATACTCCTTCCTAATCGTTTAGATAAATATGTGAAGATTGGGTCTTCTTTAGGTAACAGAGGTGCAGAAAGGTTAACTCTCTCTTGTACACCCTGAAGAGAAGAAAAAGATTCAAGAGACATAATCAAAAGATATAAAAGATGACAAATAATTCAGTATCTCGTAGTATTTATTTTGAAATACTAATATTTTGGAATTTCAAGAAATAGATGTCTATAAAATTATAAAGCTGTTTGGAAGGAGAGAAGAAATAGAAATAGTCTTTTTTTTTTTTTTTGAGACGGAGTTTCACTCTTGTTACCCAGGCTGGAGTGCAATGGTGCGATCTCGGCTCACCGCAACCTCCGCCTCCTGGGTTCAGGCAATTCTCCTGCCTCAGCCTCCTGAGTAGCTGGGATTACAGGCACGCGCCACCATGCCCAGCTAATGTTTTGTATTTTTAGTAGAGACGGGGTTTCACCATGTTGACCAGGATGGTCTCGATCTCTTGACCTCGTGATCCAGCCTCCTAGGCCTCCCAAAGTGCTGGGATTACAGGCTTGAGCCACTGCGCCCGGCCAGAAATAGTCTTTATAAGTGAGGGACCAACTGAAAGAAGAATATGCAGAAAAAAAAAAAAATCCTAAAGTTCTCTACTTACTCTCAAGTGCTGAAAAGCATGTATACTATATGGAAGTTCTAGAATTTTAGTACAATCAGGTTGCTCAGGGTCTGGAGGGACAGGAGATTCTGTGTCTATATAATCTTCAGGACTAAAATCAAGAAGCAAAAAGCAATGAATCAATAAAAGGTGAGACAAACAATATTTATTTATTTAAAGAGTCTCATTCTGTTGCCTGGGCTGTTGCACAGTGGCATGATCACAGCTCACTGCAGACTTAACCTCCTAATCTCAAGCGACCCTCTCACCTCAGCTTTCCAAGTAGCTGGGGCAACAGGCATGTACCACTGTAACCAGCTAATTTTTAAATTATTTTTTGTAGGGACAGGTCTATGTTGCCCAGGCTGCTCCTGAACTCCTGGCCTCAAGTGATTCTCCCATCTTGGCCTCCCAAAGTTTTGGGATTACAGGCATAAGTCATTGTGCTGAGTCAATAATACTTTAAGAAATGTCTAATTTTCCCCATATTCTCATAGCATCTTAACTTTACAATTAATTATTAGTCAATATTCATACCTTTTCTTATAGCTGCTGTAAAAAGCCAAACACTATGGGAGTTCAAATTAAAGTCAAGAATTACAGAGAAAATAGTAGACAGGTCACATAACGTTAAGATCGTGAATTTTTTAATAACTAATATAACTGCTCAATTGTTTCTAGAAATGTTAAACCAATTTACACTTCCATTGACAGTCTCCACATTTTTACTAGTTACTATTTTTCATATGCTTTCCATTTTGGTACATGAAAATTATCTAAATGTTTTAATTTGTATTTATTTGATCATTTCTGAGAAATATGTTTTCCATGTTTATCAGCCAGAGGTAGTTTTGTTAATTTTTTTTTAACTACAAATTGTTCAATTCTCTCTCTCTCTCTCTCTCTCTCTTTTAAGAGACAGGGTCTCACTGTGTCACCCAGCCTAGAGACTGGGCTAGAGTAGAGTGGCACCATCAAGGCTCACTGTTACCTTGAATTCTTGGGCTCAAGTGATCCTCTCGGTTTAGCCTCCTGAGTAACTAGAACTACAAGTGCACACTACCATGCCCAGCTAATTTAAAAAAATTCCTTTTTTTTTTTTTTAAGAGATGGGGTCTCAATATATTGCCCAGTCTGTCTCAAACTGCTGGCTGTGGGCAATCCTCCCACCTTGGCTTCACAAAGTACTGGGATTACAGCTGTGAGGCACCATGCCCAGCCAAATTCTTCCATTTTCTACTGTGATGTTAAATATTTTAAATTAATTTATAGGAATTCAACATGTATGTATTTTGAACTTTCAAATTCAAAAACTCATCTGTGACTGAAGCTTAGTCTTATTACAGAAATAATTTCTTACTGATTTGAGAATGGAGTGTTTGAAAAGCAATTTTATTTTTGGAAAGAGAATTTCTTTACCTGATGTCTTTGCTCTCCAAAGTTATGTATGTGCCATCATATAGATCCAGGTCCCCTAAGGGCACCTTGGCTTTGATGCAGTCGGGGTCTTCTTTATTATGTCTCTGTTCCAGTCCTGTGTCTCTGTCCTCATTCTCTTCTATGTGAATTTTTTGAGCAACTAATTGTTTCTGTTGAGAAGAAAGTAAGAACAGAATGGATTCTTCTAATATTTTAGTCTAGCTATCACTGAAGAGAAAGGAAAATTTGTGCTGAAGAAGTCAGAATCCTCTATATAGGAAGACAAGAATTCTGAAAATGCCCTTAGTTAACGTAGTCAACACATACGAGCTTCTCAAAAAAGATGTCCACATACAGAAAGTAACAGAACATGACATTTACCACACTGGCACACGTGTGCCTTCATAATATGATTTCTGACTACCCATGAAGCACATCTATAACTTAACTTTGCTGGCACAGAATGGCTCTGCAATGAAAACATACCTGCTAGGTTATTTCAATTCTTCAAGACATAGGGCATGTTGCTATCACTACCTGAGTAATCTAGTTAATTCCTGACACTCATAAAATATCTATTTTTTCAAATGTACAAATAACACAGATATCCATATTTTTACCACTCATATATACCATATGCCAATATTTTCTCTTTTCTTTTTGTTTTTTTTTGAGACAGGGTCTTCCTGTCACCCAGGCTGGAGTGGTGCAGTGGTGTGATCACAGCTTACTGCAGCCTCTGCCTCCTGGGGTCAAGTGATCCTCTCACTTCAGCCTCCAATGTAGCTGAGACTATAGGCATGCGCTACCATGCCCAGTTAATTTTTTTTTTTGAGACAGGGTCTTACTTTGTCACCCAGGCTGAGTGGAGTAGTGCGATTATAGCTCACTGCAACCACAAACTCCAGGGCTCAGGTGATCCTCCTGCCTCAGCCCCACAAGTAGCTAGGACTACTGGTGCAGACTACCATGCCTGGTTAATTTTTTGTATTTTTCTTACAGATGGTGTTTTGCCATGTTGCCCAGTCTGGTCTTGAACTCCTGAGTGCAAGCAATTGATCTGCCTTGGCCTCCCAAAGTATTGGGATTACAGGCATGAGCCACCAGGCCTGGCCAATTTTTCTTCTTTTTATAGGGATGGGGTCTCACTATGTTGCCCAGGCTGCTCTCAAACTCCTGGGCTCGAGCAATCTTCCCACCCTGACCTCCCAAAGTGTTGGGACTACACGCATGAGATACAGTGCCGAGCTCAGATTTTTTTTTTTTTTTTTAAAGGAGAAAAAAAAAAAAAAAAAAAGGAGTTCAAGGTCTTCTTTACTGTCTTCTAAATCTCTTTTTGCCATTAATCTGAATTTATGTGTCATTTCCATGTGCATTTTAATAAAATACTACATTACCCTTACTCTCTTAAAAAATTAATTTCATAGGCCGGGCGCGGTGGCTCAAGCCTGTAATCCCAGCACTTTGGGAGGCCGAGGCGGGTGGATCACGAGGTCAAGAGATCGAGACCATCCTGGTCAACATGGTGAAACCCCGTCTCTACTAAAAGTACAAAAAATTAGCTGGGCATGGTGGTGCGTGCCTGTAATCCCAGCTACTCAGGAGGCTGAGGCAGGAGAATTGCCTGAACCCAGGAGGCGGAGGTTGCGGTGAGCTGAGATCGCGCCATTGCACTCCAGCCTGGGTAACATGAGTGAAACTCCGTCTCAAAAAAAAAAAAAAAAAAAAAAAAAAAAAAAATTAATTTCATTATATATGTATCCAAAGGCAACATATAGCATTGCTCTGCAAGTTTTAAAATTTTATATAAATGGTATCATACTTAATGTGTCTACAACTTTAAAAAAAAGTATGTATGTTTTTGAGATTTATCTACATTAGTCAGTATAGCTCTAAATTTTTCATTTAAATAGAAGTATAAATATGTATTTATCCATTTTCCTGTAAATATTTATGTTGCATCTTTAAAAAAAAAACTTTTTGCTATTAAAAATGCTACAATATTCTCATAAATGTCTCCATGTAGACATGTGAAAAATTCTAACAAGGGCAGAAGCATGAGGTCACATAAGATGCACATTTTCAGTTCTATATAGACATGTCAATCTGCTTTTCACAGTGGTTATAACAATTAGAATTCAATGAGTAGATCACAACATCTGTATCTCCAGAATCTTACCCATGTTTGGTTTTGTCATACTTTTTACCTTACGCCACTTTAATAGGTATGAAACATCATTTTGTTATATTTATTGCAGTAGTAGACTATGTTATTGTGATAGGCTGTATTACTATTCACTAATATCTGCCCTTCCTTACAAGAAGATACATCACTGTTCTGCTGGACTCAGGCTTGGGCAATATGACTTGCTTTGGCCAACGTAACATAAGTCCCATGCGACCCTTTTATAGGAAAGCTTTTATATAGTGTATGCTTCACCATGTTCTTTCTTTTTCCCTCAGCTACTGAGAATGCCAATATTACAGATAGTGGCTGCTCTGTCAGCCTGGGTCCTAGCTAACGGATCAGTGACATGGTACAGATCCCCAACAGAGCCCCAAATGATCATTTAGCCTGGCCTTATTGTTTTATGACATTAAGATTTTGGGGTTATTATCAGTGTGGACATAGCCTATGATCTGCTTCCAATTATTCCCTCCATACTATTCATGGAGGTAGGTTATCCCGCCCTACTGACTTCAAGGCATGGATGCACAGAACATAAGTAGAGATAGTGTATGTCACTTCTCAGTAGAAACTTTAACCAGGCTTACTCTTCCTTGAGCCTTCACTTTCCTTCATGAGAACAGCACTGAGGTTCTGGGACTATTTGTTGCCAATGCAAACGTTGACTAATACACTATGAAATATGGACTACATCAGCTAATAGAATTATATTTAATAAGACTGAACATATTTTCATATATTTATGAGCTATTTTGTGAATTGACTGTTCAAGTTGGCTCATTTTTTCCCCAGTAGGTTTTCTTTTTTAAAAAATTGCTTTGTAGGATTGGTGTGGTGGCTTATGCCTATAATCTTAGCATTTTGGGCGGCCAAGCCCAGAGGGTCACTTGAGTTCAGGAGCTTGAGACCAGCCTGGCAATACTGAGAGAACCCATCTCTACGAAACAAAAAAAAAGCCAAGAGTGGTGGTGGTGCTCGCCTGCAGTCCTAGCTACTGGAGAAGCTGAGGCAGGAGGACTGCTTGAGCCCAGGCAAAGTGGTTACAGTGAGCAATGATCATCCTGTCTGCCTTCCAGCTGGGGCAGGAGTGAGACCCTGTCTCAAAAAAAAAACAAAAAAAAAAAAAAAAAAAAAAAAAAAAAAAAAAGAGAGAAAAGAAAAGAAAAGAAATTAATCTGTAGAAATTTATTATGGAAAAAGTAATTCTGTAAACTCATCCTCTATGAGTTATATGCATGGCAAGTATTGGCTTCTAGTTTGTAGCTTATCTTTTAATTTTGTCATTTGAAGAAAAACTTTTAAGGTGGGCAACTTTTATCAACTGCTTTCTTGTTTGTACTTTGTTTTATTTAAGATATCCTTCCCAACCCTGAGAGCATAATTATATCAGTCAACTACAGTAAAGCATGGCATAAAGATATTTTGGTTAACAATGGACCCCAGCGGTGGTTTCATAAGATTATAACACCACATTTTTACTGTGCCTTTTCTATGCTTAGATATACAAATACTTACCATTATGTTACAACTGCCTACAGTATTCAGTACAGTAACATGTTATATAGGTCTGTAGCCTAGGAGTAATAGGCTATACAATATAGCATCTGTATAGTAGGCTATATCACTTAGGTTTGTGTAAGTACATTCTATGATGTTCCCACAATGGTGAAATCACATAACAACTTATTTCTCAGAGCATATCCCTGTCATTAAGCAATGCATGACTGTCTATCAATCTACTCTATTTTTTTAGTAAAAAGTTTCACTTTTCATATTTAGATAATTTTTAAACTGTACAGGATTTTTTTTGTATCTTGAAAGGTAATAATTTTTTTTCCCACATGGACAATTTCCTAATATCATTTATAAAGAGTCTATCCTTTACCCATTTATTCAATCAACTTTTATATTTTATATTTCATGGTTTTCTAAAACTTATACCTAAGATTTCAAATTTATTGGTCTAAAGCTTTTGTAGTATTAATAATTATGTCTTTTTATTTTTTTGAGATGAACTCTCACTCTGTTGCCCAAGCTGGAGCACAGTGGTGTGATCTCGGCTCATTGCAACCTCCATCTCTTGGGTTCAAGTGATTCTCCAGCCTCAGCCTCAGCCTCCCAAGTAGCTGGGACTACAGGCACGCACCACCATTCCCGACTAATTTTTGTATTTTTAGTAGAGACAGGTGTTTCATTATGTTGGCCAGGCTGGTCTCAAACTCCTGACCTTGTAATTTGTCCACCTTGGCATTGCATAGTAAATACTTTTTCTAGGTTCTCTCCTCTCCTCTTATATCTTCTCTTTATTTGTAAGTTTGATAACTATAGATTACATTTTTCTTTTTTTTGAGACAGGCTCTCACTCTGTCACGCATGCTGAAGTGTGGTAGTGCTATCATAGTTCACTGTAACCTCAAACTCCTGGGCTCATGCAATTCTCCTGCCTCAGCTTCCCAAAGTACAAGGATTACAGGTGTGAGCCACCACGCCCAGCTTGCATGTCTATTATTTTAGTGCTTGCCTTTTTTTTTTATTGTTTTCATCAGTAAATATTTCAGTATGTTTTGGAAAGAAAAGCCTCTTTTGTAAAAAATAAGACCACTGCACCATTACCATAAGTAAAAAATAGTAATTCCTTAATATCAAATACCCAGTCTGTATTCAAACTCCCAATTGTTTCTTCTCTTTTAAAAATACAGTTTGCTTGAATCAGAATCCAATGCAGTTCATATACACTGCAATTAGTTTATTTGTCTCTTACATCTCTTTTAATCTACTGGATATCCTCTCTTTCTATGAGCAGAATGTCTCCACCCCAGTCTTTAAGCAGTAAGCCTTGTTCTGTTTCTACATCCTGCATGGAATATTGTCAGCTTCCTTAATGCTACAGTGCTGAATATCAGACACCATAGCCTGCTCCTGGCCTTGGAGCCCAATAGGGGTCGGTAGCATTGGCTACATTCCCAGTTTAGTGCTTCTCCTCATTTTTGGTTTATGGAGATGCTTATATTACTTTCAAGCCTGCCTATATTTTATTTTGGTTTCTGTTTTTATATTTTTCCTGTCATTGCTTTGCATATGAAGCAGAAGCTTCACAGTATAAGTATAAACAAAAATAGAAGTTTACACTTAGTGTAAGTATAAATTCCTATACTACTTTAACCAAAAATTGGTGGAGTCAGTATTTTTCATTTCATTTTCACTGACTTAAAAAATGGCTCTTTCTTTCTATATATCTTCTAATTTAAATATCTTTCTCTTTATATAATACCGCCTCCTAAAAAAGAAAGCAATAAACATATATAATGTTTCTGTACACCTGAAAATAAAAACCGTTTTCCGCACCACTGCATCTTTCTGAACAGTGGGTTTAAATAAAAATAGATCATGCTTCCAAACATGAAGCACTATAAGAACACCCATTGTCTAATTCCCAGTATTGATAAAAATCAACATTTCCAAATTTACAAGTGATAAAATCAGTAGGAACAAGGTGAGAAACTATTTTCATAATGTTGAGGTATTCAAGTTCTAGAAGTATTCTAATATACTACTACGTATGCAAAGCTGGTTAACATGTGCTAAAGGTTTCTCTCTCTTAATTCACAGATTTTTAAAAAGCACATATTTATAACTATTTGTGGACATATGTATGTTGATAAATATACTAGTCTAAATTTATGAAAATGAAATTCGGGACTTTTACATAACAAGAAAATATATGCCAACTTGGTTTACCAGGCATGCCTGATTTTAAGTCAAGAGATACAGCTTTTGTTTCTGGTTCTGCCATATCTTGCTTTGTGAACTCAGGCAATTCACTGTCTTTAGGTCTAATTGTTTCCTTGCCTCTAAAATGAGGATGATCTTATGATTCCTTCTAGTTCTCAAATACTGTAATTCTACTCTTATTACTTTATTATTCCCAACAGTTTTCTCTCATTTTGCAATTTAATGTTTCTACAACTTAGAGTTTCTTTAAAACTTAGATTCAATTTACACCGTAACTTTTTGTAAAATTTATACTTTAAGTTCTGGGGCACATCTGCAGAACGTGCAGGTTTGTTACATAGGTATACACGTGCCCTGGTGGTTTGCTGTATCCATCACCCCATCATCTACATTAGGTATTTCTCCTAATGCTATCTCTCCCTTGTCCCCCAACCCCTGCTATCCCTCCCCTAACCCCCACCCCCCGAAAGGTCCTGGTATGTGATGTTCTCCTCCCTGTGTCCATGTGTTCTCATTGTTCAACACCCACTTATGAGTCAGAATATGCATACATTGTAAGCACTGTAAGCATTAAGCAGAGATTTCATGAGGAAAAAAACCCCTAGTTTTTCAAATAACAAATACTGTTTGCTATAAAGCAAAATCAATTTATGGAACTATGTTAGAGAAAAGGAAAACTGATGTTTAATTTATTTATTAAACAAAGACGTCAGATTTTCTTAGTACTAATAAGGTTTGAACTTTCAAGGTACAAGGTGATTAATGTTTTTCACTTCAACCATAAGAAGACATAATAGGAAGACCTTAGTTTTTACTACCTGGGAATAAATACTGATTATATATTTAGGCTATTAAAATTTTTCTTTCTTTTCATATTTTACCCAAATTATTCTAGGAATATCTTCAGAGAGATTACATCATTTTCATATTTGATGAAAAAACTTAGAAACTCTATTCAAGGATAAATGAGTTAAGAATCAGGCATATATTCACGGAAGAGTAGTCTGTTTTTCTTACTACTACTCAAATATCACTTTGGTAAAATGATTAAAAAAAAAAAACACTGCAGGTAAGTATATTCCTGCAAAAGTCAGAAGATCAGACTTAAAAAAATAATGTTTTAGCTTTTCTTTGAACACAATGACGTCTGTGAAATGTAACAAGCTTCAGCTGCAACTCATGTGCCCAGCTGCCTCACCTCTAATTCTTTGAGGTAGTTAACTGTTGTTTCTTGTCTCATTAATATGACTAGGTCATGAGGATGCTTCAAGTTCATTGGTGAATCCACCTGCAATCAAGAAAGCAAGAAATAAATAAAGCTCAGATTTCATTAATGCTTGTTTGGATTGATAACATCTCCTTTAATATGCATTACTGTTCAGTCACCATTGTAATCAGTGTCACTGCTTAGAAAAACTCAAGGAGTATTTCAAAGTGATCATATGTAAATGTTAGCAAAGGTAATGACAAGTTCAACAGTTGTCCTGTGGACTCCAACTTGGAAGAACAAGCATTCAGTACATATTCTGACTTGACAGGTGATATAATAGTAAAGAAGAGAAGTATCTGGCAATGACTGATGAAGTAACTTGTTAAATAATGTTTCATGCCTGTAATAATAAAAAATGAATTGTCTTGTTTTGATAGCACTTTTTATATCTGAATAGGCTTGGAAGTGATAAAAGGAAAATATTAAATGTACCTCTTTTTGAAAGCTATTTGTAGAAGTCATAAATCAAAGGTAATATAAAATAACCTTGAGATTTATTACTTATAATTCATGTTCTCTAGATCAACAAATCAAACAAATTATGT